CAAATCAGAAGGAGAACAACCGAGAGACTGTCATATTGAAACCGATAATCGAGTCGAGGATTGGGAAATTTCCCTTTGTCTTGACCATTATAATGTGTATGCCGGTGATTCACGGGATTTGCTTAAACGAGATCGCTTTTTACCCTTTTGGCCGGAGGGACATTTATTTGGTAAACCCGATCCCAATTATTGGTACTGGCAAAGAAAATACTATTGGAACGATGATGGATTGGATTGCTGCTCAAATTATACGATTAGTTTTCATTACATCCAGTCTAAATATCAATACTCGATGTATTTCCTCACGTATAGATTGCAACCGTTTGGAATCAAACGTCATTTTCCACCGCCACCGAAGAAAAGGGATTTTACAGAAGTTAAGAATATACTCGACCAAGAACGAGTTGATGTATCTTTACGGGGATATTAGGTCCAGATTTTTTCAAATAGATTTTGATTGGAGTTAAGTTTAATTAATTTAAGTGGAGAAATAATACGAAGTTGATAATGAAGCTGACGATTAAAAGGGCTCTGATTATTCAAATGGTTTAATTTTTATTGATTTAATGCCGTTAATCTATATTTTTCTGAGATTATTTTACCTGAACTGTTTTTGGGTTGGACAAATAGCTGAGAACTGAGTGTTTTCAATAATATAATAATGACTTACGTAGAGAAAAATGTTGCAGATTTAGCAACGATCTCGACAATATTCATGTACGCGCTTGATACAGCGATGATGACATAACCGATTATATTCGACGTATTTGATTTAGAGGTATGTTTCAAAATTGGCAGATTCTTTTTTTCCTATTGTTTCGTCGAACTTACAAGAGTTTTGCAAAAATTCCAACGCGAGTTTGAAGCCAACACTAAAGAATGACTACCAGCTTTGCCCTATTTGAACTTTTCATGATATTTGTACGTGAAATTCATAAGTCGATCTATTGAAAAAACCCAAAATCAATGAAAGTTCAAAGTTTTTCATAGATTATCTATGGTATTTACATGTGAAACATACAGCGCCATCTATTGAAAAAAGTCACAATCGTGTCAAGTTGAAATAAGGCAAAATAACCCAGAAAATGGTTGTCATTCTTTATCTAATGAAAACACAGCTAAAGGAAAAAATGAATTTGCCAACTTTGAAACATACCACAAAATTAAATACGCCGATCGGTTATGTCAACATCGGCTGTATCAAGCGCGTGCATAAGTACTGTTGAGATTATTGCTAAATATTTGCAAAAACATTTTATAGAAAACACTCAGTTCTTAGCTATTTGTTCAACCCAAAAACAGTTCAGGGTAAATATTAAGAAAAAAAATCATCACTACCGATATTATATCAGTAAAAATTGGACCATTGAACCAATAAGAGCCAATTTCATCGTCAGCTTCATCATCGATTTCGCACTCTAGAAAGTGTATTTGAAAAATGAACGCGAAAATAATTTTTTGTTGGTTTTTAATTGGGATTGGAATTGGATTTTTCATCGATCTTTTAATAGTTAAAGATCCTGAATCAACCAAACCTATTACCAAATCTAAGGAACCTGAATTGAATTTAAGAAAAGGGCCTCACCTGGATTTAACGCAAACAAGTATTGAGGATGTGAAAAATATACGAATTTTGTGTTTTTTGAGCACCATGCTGAAGAGTCATTCAGCGCACGCGATTCACGTTTTGCAAACGTGGGGCAAACATTGTGATAAATTGTTGTTTTTCAGTTCAGTAACTGACGAAAATATTGGTGCGATTGGATTTAATGTGACGGAAGGGCATGACTACGTTTGGGGAAAGATTAAATTGATAATGCAGTATATTCACAAGAATTTCATCAACGATTACGATTGGTTCTTCAAAGGCGATGACGACACATTTTTGATTCCTGAAAACTTACGTTACATGCTATCAGCCTATTCAACTGACGATCCAATTTACTTTGGATATAGGAAAAACTCATCCGTACATAAAAGAGGCTACTTCAGTGGAGGCGCTGGTTATGTGATGAGCCGACAAACCGTTCGAACGTTTGTCGAAAAGGTGTTAACCAACAAAGTGTTTTATCGAAAGTCAGAAAAAGAATTCGGTTGTAATCTTAAAGCGGATGCACGCAATGAGGATTGGGACATAAGCCTTTGTCTCGATCATTACAATGTATATCTCGGTGATTCAAGGGATTTTTTAAACCGAGGCCGATTTTTTCCATATAAGCCAGAGGCGCATTTATTAGCCGGTAAACCGGATTCCAAGAATGGACACTGGACAACGAAATACTATTGGAGCGATGAAGGACTGGATTGCTGCTCAAATTATACAATTAGTTTTCATTATATCCAAGCTAAATATCAATACACGATGTATTTCCTCGCGTATAGACTACAACCGTTCGGAGTTGAACGGCATTTCCCATTGCCGCCGATGAAAGCAAACTTTTCTCAAGTCGTCAAATTACTGGAACAAGAACGACTGGATCCGTCTCTACGAGGATACTAAATCCAGATTTTGACGTAGGAGAATCGTTGTGAAATATTGCTCAATGAATTTAAATTTTTGAATAATTTAGTTTTAATGTGTTTTATGTATGTTAAAAATTTAATAGAACAATTAAAGAAATATTTCCATATAAATCAATTTCAGTTGAATGTAATCTGCTTTGATCCGAATCTTATTCTCACTTCACAATTTAGAGTGAAGCAAATGATGGAAATTTTTTAGCAATCCATTGTTCTATTCAGTGATATTCTGAACATCGTTTTATAAACAAACAAACGAAAAGCAAAAGCAATGAAAAAAAAAACAAAACGGAATGCTTAATCTGAGTACGCCAAAAGTGATTTATTTATTCCATCGATGTAAATTTTTTCAGTTTAATGCTCTTCAACGCACACAAACCGATGAGTTTAAGCAAATGTTATCAGAATTATCGCATGTATTTGTTGTTTGTCTGGTTTATCGTACGAGCGATAATCAGGTTTTATTCCATTGCTTCGAGTCATAATGTGTTATCAGCGTTAACTCGTAACTCGTTATGAAAGTGACAAGATAATTTTGGTTTTAGAAATATAAATATCACGAAGTTTTCATTTTTAGTCGTTTGTTGTCAGCACTATAAAAGGCACATACAAAGTTCACGCAATATCTTTCAACTAAAAGTTTTTTTTTCAATCAATATGGCAAAATTCCACTTCAAAGGCTTAATGTGTCCAACATTTACAGCGTTCGACAAAGACAAGTAAGTGATTGGTTCAGATGAATTTGATGTGGAATAGCACAGAAAATTATTTCAATCGTTACGATTTTTGCAAATATTTAGACAGGTTGATTATGCGGTCATCGATAAGTATTGTTGCTATCTGAAAACGAAAGGTGTAAACGGTGTTTTGGTAAGTATATTCTAATTTTAAAACAAAAATGTTCACCACATTTTGTATTCATCATTTTGAATGATGTACAACTGACAAATTTCTAAAGGTAAATGGTACAACTGGCGAAGGCACTTGTTTGCGATTAGATGAACGTAAACGTTTGGCTGAAGAATGGTTGGTGGCTTGCCGAAAATATGGCGTAACAATGATGATTCAAATTGGAGGCTGCGATGTTCTCAGTGTTTTCGAATTGGCACAGCACGCGGAAAAAATTGGCGTTGACTGTGTCTTGACTTTGGTACTACTCTTTTAAATCATTGCTTTAAATTTCTTTTTTTTAAATATGATTTATTCTACAGCCGGATCTATTTTTCAAACCGAAAATTGAAGAAGATCTAGTCAAATACATCAAAAGCATCGCACAACATTGTCCAACCCGACCACTCTACTATTATCACATTCCGAGTATGTCTGGAGTTGATCGTAAGTCGAATATTTGAATAAGAGCTAAGAGCGATAATCTGCACGAGTGTTTGTATCATTTTAGTTCAATCTATTCATTTTTTTTTCACAGTAAATATGCCACGATTTTACGATTTGATTGAGAAAGAGGTGCCAACTTTCCATGGTTTAAAATATACGAATGGTAATATGGAGCTCGGAATTCAATTGATTAAAGAAGGTCGTAACATTATGTTGGGCGCTGACACAATATTGTGGGGAGCATTGCATCTTGGTTTCGATGCAGCCATTTTAACAACACTCAACATTTGCCCAGATACAATTCGCGAAATTTATGAACATTATCTTAACAACAATCAGAAGGAGGGACTCCAAGTACAACGCAAACTAAATCAATATATCATAGATATTCTTTCAAAAGATACCGGCGAATGGGTTGAAAACATGAAAAATGAATTCAATCGCGTTAACGCATCGCTTAAAGTTGGACCAGTTCGCAAGCCAACCATTATGTGCAGACGTTTATAAGCGTTAAATATGGATTTGTTTGGTTAATTGAACTGAAAACTGTTTTTTTTTTATTTCTTAACAAAGGTGCAAGGAACATTTGGTAAAAATAATAGAATAGTTTTGAGCAGGCAAAATTGTCGTATATGTTACCAATTGCATCATTTCACATGGTTTTTTTTCTTCTTTTTTACATTATTATATTCATTTTTGTATGAAACAATTCAAATAAAATCAAATACTTATTCCCTATAAAACGGTGTTGTCATCTTTACTTCGATTCTGATTAGGGAAAAAACATTGCATAAGAATTGATAATGGTATCAAATATATACATGATAATGTAGAAACAGAAAACAAGTCAATGTGACACTTTTTCTGAAGATGCGGCCTCTTAAAAATATTTGTCACCTGATGAAAAGCACAAACAAAGTCTATTTTTAACTTCTTAATCAATCACTTCTTGGCAGATGTATAAAACATTGACTCAGGTATTATCTGGGAATGAATAATGGCATTGGCAACAAGACATTTAATGAGCAGATTATCAAACGTATACAAAGTATTTATATGAAAATAATGAACTTGTTATGCGATACCGCATCATATGAAATGTAAATATTTACAGTGCAGCTTCAATTTCACTAAATATTTATTCAAATAATTGTGTTGTTTTGTTTACCGCACTGCGGCATTCGATTGATTGCAATTGTTTTGATGTAATTATCAGAACAAAATATGCCCAAATTTCACCTTTCATTTATTTGAATTGATTAAAAATTGGTATAAATACAGCTGAAGTCTCAAGAGACAGCATGAGTTCCTACTCGCAACGAATAATTAGCGGTTCTTGCAAGTTAAAGTTGAAAAAGTTGCAAAATTGGTGCGAAAATGGTGAAGTTTCAATTCAAAGGACTGATGTGCCCGGTATTCACGCCGTTCACCCATGACAAGTAAGAATTCTTTATTTTTTTTCTGTTTATTTCGAGTAATTTATATTACTTTGAAATTCCATAGGAAAACCATCGACTATGACGTTATTGAGAAGTATGGCAATTACTTGAAGACGAGTGGAGTGCATGGTGTGCTAGTCAATGGAGTCAGCGGTGAGGGAACATGTCTCCGTCTGGATGAGCGCAAACGTGTTGCCGAAGAATGGTTGAAAGTGTGCCGCAAACATGGATTAACCATGATGCTGTCCATTGGCGGCACTGGCATTGCTGAAGTATACGATTTGGTTGAACACGCAGAGAAAATTGGTGTCGATTGCATTGTTCTCATGCCGGATCTATTTTACAAGCCACGAATCGAAGAGGATTTGGTTGAATACGTACAGAATATCGTCAAATTTTGCCCAACACGTCCCATTTACTACTACCACATTCCCGAATACACCACCGTGCGCTGTAAGTTTTTCTCTTTCAATTCAAATGTACTAAAATGTCTTTGCTTCCAATTCAATGATTCTTGAGCTCCGTTTTTTTTTTTCATTTAAGTGAATCTGCTCCGCCTGTATGACCTTCTACACCGTGCTGTTCCGAACTTTGATGGCATCTACTATCGGCACACCAACATTGAGCTAGCTACGGATTTGCTGAAGGAAGGCTATAACGTCATTGTGAGCACCGATACCATTCTAGTTGGCGTGTTGTCTCTTGGCTTTGATGCAATTTCATCGATTTCTTTGAATTTGTTCCCTGAAAATGTTACTGAGATTTATGATCTGATTCTCAATGCCAAATTGCGTGAAGCTCTTGAGGTAAATGACAAATTGTATCGTCGTATAAAGGAGGTGGTCACAAAAACACAGGACTGGGTTGAATCCATCAAATTGGAATTCAACAAGAAGACAGACTTCAAAATTGGCGAAACACGCAAGCCACATGTCACTTTCAATTGGTTCAACAAGAAGAACTGAATTCGATGATGGCATTGATAACGGACAGCGATTTTGACATATGATGACACTCAAACTTATCCACAGAATTCTGTAAACTTTGCAAATCAAAATAAATATCGTTCTGAAACTGCAGTTTCAATTCAAAGAAATGTAGAGTTTTCTTTTCCTTAGCTTTATTTCAACATCAAAAATATCATAAATACTCTCTAACAATAGTGCTTCGCACAAAGTAAACAAACCAAAAAACATTCTTATGCCTATGACATAATATACGCGCAGTGAAATCTCAAAAATGAATGGAACAACAGAATTTAGCTACGACAAAGTTCGGTATTGCCATTTTCAAATAATTGAATTGCAATTTCCTTCACTTTTCTTCTCAGCACTTTTCCAGAAACCGTTGATGGTAATGAGTCGACGAAATAGACACCGCCTCGAAGTTTGCAATGATCCGAAAAATTGTCTAAAAACATAACAAAAAATAATAGATAAATCCAATGATCTAATGAAACCAGTGTTATAATTTCTGAGCTTACCTGCGACCATATCGAAAATCTCCTGTTCGGAAATGTGTGCTCCGTCAGCGCATACAATAACCGCAGCCGGTAGGTCGGAAGCCACTTCATCCGGTATGCCAACAATGCATGCCGATTTTATTTTCGGCGATTGAATTAGAAAAGCATCAATTTCAGAGGGTGAAATCGAATTACCATAATATTTCAGAAGATCCTTTTTTCGATCGACAATGTACAAGTATCCCATCGAATCGAAATGACCAATATCCCCTGTCATTAGGCAACCCTCGTCGTCAAATAGCTCATCTGTTGCGTCTTGATTTCCATAATATCCAAGAAATCTGTAATTTACTTTGATGCAAACCTCTCCATCAACATTCGGACCGCATCGATTGCCTTGATCATCGATCACTTTGATTTTTACGCCACTAAGCAAACGGCCAACGCAATCTCTACCACTTGGTTGAGGATAGTCGCCTGACACTGGGCCACAAGTTTCACTCAAACCGTAAACCACACTGACATTTCCGTTTGGCAAGTGTGAACTCATCTCACTTTGTACATGAAGCGGCACTTTGCTACCGGTAACAAATTGACATCTTATGCTCGATAAGTCAGTGGTGGTGAAGTTTTTGTTTTTCATCATTAAAAGTAAATGATGCGATGCATTCAATGCCCATGTCACTTTGTACTGTTCAAATAAATGAAGCTGTAGTTCCGGCGAATAGGATTCAGTGGTGATGATACGAGTTGCACCGCACATTGTACCTTTGAATAAGGTTATCACACCTGTTATCCAATATAATGTACTAAAACAGAGCATTACGTCACTGGAATAGGTGAAACTGAGATGTGCCATTTCATCAAGTAGTGCGGCATGTGACAAACACACTCCTTTTGAAAACCCTGTCGTACCCGATGAACAAATAATCAAAGCGGTTTCCTTTTCTCCATCAACTTCCATCGGACTGTTTGTTAGAAGCGATCATTAGTAAATAAATAAATTCGTTTCATAATCCAAATCATACTCACACAAAATAGTCTTCGTTGTGCGTTTCCAAAAGCAATTTCTCCACTGGTTCGGCTTTACCTTTGCTGCCACCGAACGTAAATATTTTTGCGTCATTTTTTAGTTCTGCTAGGCATTCCGAAACTAAATCATAAACACCAACGTCGCAGAACATTAGAACCGGTTTAATGGTAATCAGCATATGGATGAGTTCAGCTTTTTTGAAAGACGGATCGAGTGTATTCACTGGGCAGCCGATACTAATCGATCCGAATACAATTGGAGCTACATGATGCGAATTCTTGGCCATCAATCCGAACACTTGCTTTGGTTTATAGCCTCGATCCAAAAGATTTTCTGCCGCTCGAATAGTCTTTTGGCGAATTTCATTAAAACTCAATTCAATTCCATCATTATCACTTATCTTCAACGAAAAAACAATTTTCAATGGAGAGAAAATCATATGATTGCTTTTATTTATCAATTTTAATAATACCTGTGCAATTTTCGATCCATACGTCTTCAATGCATTAAGCATTACTTGTGCCACGGATATTTTCGAATTGTAGGTTGGTGGAATATCCAAACCACTCCACACTTTATTTTTCTCATCATATTTTGTTGTGAACATTTTTCCACTGAACACGATACTATTCTTTCAGCGTTTTACTGTCGTTCGCGCAAGATTGAACTGGTAGAAAAAACAACATTCTATATACATATATAGACGTACAAAAGTCATTCGTCATATCTGACGAAAGCATTCATTATTCTCAAGTATAATTGATTTAATATCTAATGCGGAAGTATGTTCTTTCTATGAACTTTAAATTACTATTTTATCACATGTTTTGTCGATTACGCAACCAAAATCAATGTAAACACTTGAAACGATTGTGTGTGTTTCTTTTCGACGTTCAATATGATTGTAATAGATTAGTATCACCAAAAAAATTGTGTTATACTGTTATTGTTTACAAATCGTTCAAATACTACACCACACAATTCACAGAACAAATGTGCACAAAAACGAAATGCAAACACATGTGTGCAAACGATGACATAAAAGCAATAGTATTAAATTTTGTTCACCAACACAACACAACGAGCGACACAGTCTCGCTGTCAAAATATATATGTATGAGTATGTCAGTAGTTCGTTCATACTGACAGCAGTCAGCTGATATTCACTATTTGATTCATTCCGTTTATGATGCGCTGTATAAAGCGTAAAAACTAAACTGATTATTCAGTTGAAACACATAACGTACGTGTCAACATTTTAGCAAACTTTGTCTCAGTCATTGTTCAACAGGCCATCCGTAAACATGTAAGTCCAACGTTCGTTTTTTTTCGATAGCTCAGTGAATTGAATGTCACGCCATCCATCGATGAGTTTATTTACGGAATTTTCCAAAAGTGCATATGAAGAGATTGAATAGTACAAAATATCATAAGCGGTATTTGTATTGGTTTTCTAATCAAATTTATTGTTTCCACAGCATTGTGTTGCTTTAAATCGATGACATCAACCGGCTACGACACAGCGGTGACTCATTGAATCGCAATAAGCACAGTGTTGCGTTTGAATTTCACAACATTGTTTAAGCCGAATGACAATTTCATCACACGATATCGGGCATTTTGCATTAAATTAAACAGATCAAATCGATGATCTGGAATAAAAACGGGATGGATTCGGAATCGGAAAATCATGTATCTGAGTTGCTGAAATTTTCGAATGAGATTCTGCTCGAAATTTTTACAAATTTCAACGATATTGATTTGTTGAATACGGCACGAGTCTGTAGGCGTTTCGAAGCAATTGCAAAAGAAACATTCGCAGATAAATATAATGGCGATTCAGAAGAGAAATACTACGACATCAAAGTGTGCACGAAAGACATAGTGGATGATCAAAAGCTGTATCGCACATTTTTGAAAACGTTCGGCAATGAAATTGCAGCGATAAATATCACATCCCAACGTGGACCAAACAAGTATAACTTGCTGAAGCTGATCGGTGAACATTGTCGCTCAGCTAAACACATCACCGTTTCTACGTTCGACAGTGAATTCAATCTCACACAAATGATTCAATCGATGACACAGCTGACCAGTCTCAGTGTAAAAGGTATTAAAAGCACAAATTTATCCTGGGCCAATATTCGATTCCCACGCCTCACTACCTTTGCCATAGATGATATCCCTGATATAGATGTTGAAGTGTTAAAACAGTTCCTCTACATAAACCCACAGTTGGAACGTTTGCGCATAAATTATTGCACAAAATTTCCATTGAAAGTGATTCAAGCGCTCAGAGACAAAATGAAAAGACTAAAATCCCTTGAATATACGTCCTGTTACAATTTGTTCGGAGATACTTGCCGTGACATTAACATGGAGCAATTGGAAACGTTGAAAATTGCCGTTGATGCGACATCATTTCGATCGGTGCTGGTAGCTACTACAAAAGGGAGTAAAAAGATTCAAAGTTTAGAGGTGTTGATGCGTGACGATGACGTTAACACCGAAGGAATACATCAACAAATGGATGAGGTTATTCCGTTGTTTGAGAAACTCACGACGCTGCGACTAGTTAAGTTTGATTTGACTGTTGATGTGACTCGTTACCTGATTCGATTTTTACCACATTTGGTTACATTGAAATTGGATGGTATAAGACTGTCCGATTTCCATTCGTACGATATTCTGTTTATATTCAAAAAGTGCAAACACATGAAAGAGTTATCGATGGAAAGTGACTCGCATAGCATCAAAACCGAGGAGTTTAATTTGGGATTCCATCGTGAATTCATCGAGATCACCCGAAACCGTGGTAGTGGCGTAAAATTTGAGGTCATTCAACCTGAAACTAAGATGACAATAACCGCTGAAAAAATCATCAACAACGACCAATTGATCTATTGGAATGTAGGAACGGAGTGTGAAGCACCGAATTCCTGTTCAAATGTGCATTTCCTGGACCTCAATGATAAATGTTTGAGTCGAATATACTCCTACTTGGATGAACAAAGTGAACGTGCCCTGTACGAAACTTGTACCCGAACAAAAGAAGCGATGCACGAACGGATTACGAAGCAAGTTTTTACTGTTGTCGATTTGAACAGCGCAAGAGATACGTTCAAACGGTTCGGTGACCACATAACAAAACTGGCAATCGATATAAGTAAAAAGAATGGTGCACAAACAGCAGCTGTTTGGACTTTCATTGGCACTGAATTCGCTGAGAAAATAACGGAATTGTCTTTGGTCAATGTCAAGGTGAGCGCTGTGGATTCATTCAAGGTCAAATTTCCAAATGTGACTACGCTAAAAATAATGTCAGTGGTGACGAGCCGTACACACATCTTTCCACCAATGGATTGTCCGAAACTATCACGTCTCGAATTTCACAAAGATGAAATCACGTTCGCAACAAAAGCATCGAATTTTGGAGTGTCTCTTGACCACCTGACAACCATTAAACTCGTCGCTGCCAGTAAAGTTATAAGGAAAATTCTTCATTTACTCGATGATCGAATTTGTGATCAGATTCAAGAGTTTAGTGTTGATCCACAGCAACACATTCCAGAAGACAATCCATATAAACTATTTTCAAATGTGGCTATGCGATTCAGAAATCTGACCACACTTAACTTTTGTGTTCCCGATATCGAAGAAACAAATACCAAATATTTGTTTGAATCCTGTACAAAAATTGTTAAACTGACAATGGGATGTAGCTACTATGATATAAATAATAATAATTGGCGTCGAACCATAAAGAATATCAAAGAAAACTGCAAACATTTGGAAGTGATTCAAATGATTTCCAATTATTTCCAATTTGATAACGAACTTTTGAGTGAGATCGCCGAAGCGTTTCCCAAAGCTCAATTTAATATCGTTGTCTATAATTGTGATAATAATACATATAGAGTGGAAGCTTACAAAAAACTCACAAAAGATGATCGAATTAAACCATTCTGAGTCAACCTCTATAAAATAAAAATATTTATAATTAACAAAAAAACGAAACAAGCTGAAAGCGATTAAATAAGAAAAAAAAACGATTCTTCACCGTTGAAATATTTTTATACATATTTTTACACAGTATTTACTCCTTGATACATTGTTTTGACTTATTGAATAATAATCAAATCAATCGTTAATATTTTTTCCTAAAAATTGATTGCGTTTTCATTCGACATTCAATGTCACATTCAAATAAAAAATAAACCGACTATTTAGTTGAAACACATAACGAATTTGATCACAAACTTTTGACGAGATCGCCAATACGTTTTCCAGCGTTCAATTTAATATTGTTGATTATGATAATTACTAGTATAGTGATACATATAAAGTGGAAGCTTACAAAAGACTCACAAAAGACGATCGAATTAAACCATTCTAAATCGAAGATCTAATCTTTATAAAAGAATTCAGGTACAAATTCAAAGAAGTATTTATAATAAAAAAAACGAAACAAATCGAAACTGATTAAAACAGTTGTCTCATCGTTGACATATCTTTATACCTATTTAATACACAGTATTTATTCCTAGATACATTTAATAATAAAATCTTTTTTTAATATTTTTCTAAATATCGATTGCATTTTTATTCGACATTCAATGTGCGCGCGATTCAGGATGGTTCGATTAAGCGATTTTTATTGAGACGAATTAGGAAGTATGGTGGTGTTAAAGGAGAAATTTCAAAAGTAGGTATGTATGCGGCTTACAAGAGATAGGGAAAAAAACAAAGGAAATAAAAAGAATGTAAGTTAGACGCTTTCACTGATGGATGAAACGAATAAATTAAACATTTTCGGCGTGAAGACACTTTATTTCCATTTATTCTTTCTTTATTTCTACTATGGCTGAGATTGAGGCTATTGATTTTTTTTTTGTATCAATCGTGACGGATTTCATATTACGTCTGTATATAGTAAAAGTGACGACAGAGTTTTGTACATAATTGACAAAAACTTCAATCCGCTAAATATAGCTGTGCCATATTCGTATCTTAATAACCATCCTAATAATTTTGAGAGATTATTGAGATCCGATCATAATACCGATAAATCTTAATAACGCTATCAACTTTTTATCAGGTTATTAACTATATTC